TGGACCTTGCTAGTAGATATTGGCAAATTGAGATGGACCCTAAAGATCGTGAAAAGACGGCCTTCATCTCTCAGTATAGCCTTTATAAGTTTAACGTTATGCCTTTTGGGCTTACTAATGCCCCGGCTACATTTTAGCACCTTATGGATCGAATCTTTCGCGACATCAACGGAATTTTTGTCGTCATATATTTAGACAACATCAATATTTTCTCCCCTTCCTTCGACGCTCATCTTTTTCACCTTGCTGAGGTTTTCTCTCGATTACGGGCTGCGGGGTTACGTTTAAATCCAAAGAAATGTCACTTTGCAAAAAGGGAACTTAAATTTTTAGGCTATGTTGTTAGCCCCGATGGTGTATCTACTGACCCCCGAAAGGTGGAAGCTGTTCGTAGCTTTCTTGTACCTACCACCCTGCGACAGTTGCGAGGATTTCTGGGCCTGGCGTCTTACTATTAAAGGTTCATTCACGACTTTTCAAAGATCGCTGCCCCACTTCATCTCCTTCTTAAAAAGGACATCAAGTATCTATGGTTATCCAAACAGGAAACCGCCTTTTAGGCCTTAAAAGAAAAGCTCACCACAGCCCCCGTCCTTGCCTACCCTAATTTTTCACAAGAGTTTTTGCTTTTCACGGATACTTCGGGAATTGCTCTTGGTGCAATTCTTTCCCAGAGAGATTTGCAAGGAAGAGAAAGGGTCATTTCTTATGCTAGTCGCAGCATGTAATCCGCCGAGCACAACTATTCAGTGACTGAACAAGAGTGTCTGGCCATCGTATGGTCCGTATCCCACTTTCGACAATATCTTCAAGGCACCCATTTCATTGTTATAACTGATCATTCTGCACTCAAGTCCTTGCTTCGTCACAAGCTACATCATAGACGTCTTGCTCGCTGGATTTTGGCCCTACAGGAATATACCTTCACCGTCGTTCACCGTGCCGGAAAATCTTATTCTAACGCTGACAGTTTATCCCGTATTGCTGAATCTTCTACTACAAAGCCTGCCAATTTTTGACTATTTCTAATAACACCCAGTTTTATTATTATACAACTTTATCACTTTTTCTATCATCGTATATATATTAAAATAGCTAAATTTATTAAATTGTTCGTTATGGATCCTGCGCAATATTAACTGTTTCTACAATACCTCAAAAACTCAATCTCTCTGCATTGTGATTCGTCACAATTAGCGAAACTAAAACAACAAACAAGACATTATACCCTTGTCAACGATATATTATATAAAAAACATCGAAAACTACCCCACAAACTTCTACGTGTTGTTCAACGGCCTGAGGTTCCGGCCGTCCTTTTCAGTATATACTCCGACCCCCTTTCAGAACACTTTAACAGTTTTTCTACTCTTCAGCGAATTACACAACGGTATTTTTGGCCCCAGATGGGAGAGGACGTAAAGAAATACATCCAGTCATGTGACGTCTGCCAGAGAAAAGGCAGACTCCGAACACGTGAACCCCTGTATACTATCAAGGTTGGATTGCCATTTGATAGGATCGGAATCGACTTTGTAGGGCCTTTGGTACCTACAAGGAGCGGTAACAAGTACATTGTTGTAGCAACTAAGTATCTTACAAAGTGGCTTGAAGCTAGAGCCATTCCTGATGCCAGTGCTTCATCAGTCGCGTCCTTCATTATTGAAGACATTATATGCCGACACGGATGTCCTCGGGTATTATTGTCAGACCAGGGCAAGCATTTCGACAATGTTTTAATTGACACTATCTGTAACCAGCTGAGGGTCCATCATCGGTATTCCTCTACTTACCATCCCCAAACTAACGGTCTCGTAGAACGCTTCAATAGGACCCTTTGTGAAGTGTTGTCGAAATGCGTCCTACAACTTAAAGGTGACTGGGATCAATATATTCCCCCAGCTTTGTTTGCATACCACACCACAAAACATTCCACCACCCGGTATGAGCCTTTTTTCTTGATGTATAGAAGGGATGCTCTTTTTCCCGATGAAGTTAGACTCCTAGTACTGGAAATTCCTCCTTCTACCAAAACAGAACTACAAAAAAATATTCTTTGACGTGTTCAGGTCCTTTAGGAGACATCCCAGAAGCCCATACTAAAGCTCAAGCTCGAATAAAAAAATCTCAACAACTACAAAAGGCCCGTCATGATTCACGCTTCACCCTTCAAAGCTATACTATAGGGGAGCAAGTCCTTCGTTACAAATCCCAACTGAGAGGACCCATAAAGAAAAGCTAGATGAGAAATGGGAAGGTCCTTTCTATATTCATGACGTCCTAGGAAATGGTGTCTACAAACTGAGAACGATGGACGATAAGGTCATCAAGCAAAAAGTCTACGGCAATCGTCTCAAATTATATTATCCGCGATCCGAGAAAGGCGATTCCGAACCCGATCGATCCTCGCAGGAGCTCGGAAACTAAGGGGAGGAATTTGTTACCACGTTATTTTTTTGACGGTTGCGAACACGATCCCGTTACACTGACGGTTTTGGCCAATTAACCGTTTTTGTCTTTATTCCCTTGCCAAATTCAGCGTATCCCTTTTGTTTCTTAATTTGTATATCATTATCCCCGTATTACATATCTATCAATTTCCATATTAGTTAAATTAT